GTTCAAACCCACCAGGCACTCCTCAGAAGGAAGGTTGGGCAATCCTACTTCCGTAGTGATACTGCCTCGGAAACCCAAGGAGGGGTCGCTGTGAGTCGTGGCCGACTCGACGGCAAACAACAACCACAACCACCACCTTGGGTGTATCAATAGTTCTATGCTGATAAATAGTCTTTCTAAAAGAAAGATATAATAAAAGCCCTCATTTGTAGTGTTTGCCATTTTCTGTGGCACAACTGTTCCCACCATGGCCAGTTTCAAACTACCAAAAGTTTAACAACCAGCTCACCAAGTTCCTGAATATTTAAAAATCAGCTTTCATGAGCTGGTATGAGTCCATTCCCACATACCACTGGTACACAAAAGAACAGCAGCTCACGTGCTATTTACCTAACATATATGAAGACATACATTCAACCCTTTCTATTTCATATAAAGAACTACATACCAGTTATGTAGACATTGAATCAGGAGAATGATTTTATAAGTCATCTTGCCTCATTAACCTCTCCATGCCCCAAAGATCAATTGTTAGGTAACTGTCCATGTAAGTAATCTTATGATAAAAGAAGAATGTGGAAAGGAAATAAAATCTAACCAGACCAACACCACTCTAACCAAGGGGCCCACATGCTCCATCTCAACAAGTTTCCATGTTCTTTTGGTTTGTTCCTGACTCCAGCTCCACCTACTCATTATCTTCATGTATTTTTCCACTTGATAACAACTATACCCATGAAAGAGAAATGTCTATAAACAGGCAATACCAGATCAATAAAAGGACATCATGAAATCTGAACTAAAGTCAAAGTCTAATGTTCTCACAATTCTGCAACCAAGACAGATGATATTTTAAAAAATCCTGTCAGTTACCTTTAAAGCTTCCCTAACCCCACCCTGTTTTTCATACCTGAAGAGCTATAACATTAGGTTTTCAGAATTAAATGTATTTTGCTATGCTTATTCAAGAATCAAGCTCTTAAAAAATAGAAATCGTAAGTCTTAAATTTTAAACCAAAAATAAAATCTGTAAATGGTCTACAGTCATCTTTTCCTAAACTAAAATCATGAATGTAAAACCAGATACATGGGACTTCCAGGGAAAGGAAAAGAAAAAGAAACTAAAATTTCAGTAATACAACAACCAGTGATGCCATAATCATTATACACGCAGTAGTAGGAAGCAGATTCTCTACTTCTTAGAATGAGAGGTATTTTAATCCAGAACAAAGCACTTGCGTTAATGTCTACAAATAGCTCTCCATTTTGTTTTCAGTTTCCATTCCATTTCTTATTGCTGACATACTTGGGAACATGACTTAGAAAGAGCTAGAAAGTCATCTTGTTTTCCTACCTCATCTCACTGCTCCAGAATCTTCCCTAATCTTCATTCCATGCTGGGAATTTCATCGATCTTAAAGCCAAGACTGAGAACCTGCCCGAAACCAGGAGCTATAAATAAGCTTAATGGCACTTGTGTAACAACATTATTTTTTATACCTTCCCTGGGGTTAACTTGGAATAACTAAATAGGTTCATTTAAAGACCTTCCTGCTGTGTCCCAGAGTGCATGGGGAAATAAAAATAGGAAAATATGGTGCCCACTTTTGACTTGATAGTCTAAAAATACCAACACTTAAAGCCTTCTCGCCACCTGACTCATCTCCAAAATCTACCTTTTGACTCTTCTGATAAGGAGGCTTTGGGTGGTGAAAATGGTTAACACACTTGGCTGCTAACTAAAATGTCGGAGAGCTGAGTCCTCCTAGAGGTGCGTCAGAAGAAAGATCAGGTGATCTACTTCTGAAAAAAGTCAACCATTGAAAACCTATGAAGCACATTTCCACTCTGACATATCTGAGGTCATTATGAGTTAGAATTGACTCAGTGGCAACTGGTTTTTTATTTTGTTAATGGCCCGATAATTTTCCAATCACAATCATCTTTGAGTCCACAGAACAGCAATACAGTGCAGTAGTAATGACTGTGGACTCTGCATCAAGACATCTACATTTGGAACCTTCCTGTATGACTTTGGACAAATTATTTGATCCTCTACAACTCTGTTTCCCAGTCTGTCATATGAGATAAGCACACCCCTCATAGAGTTGTTTGGAGGATTAAATAAGTTTAGGTATATGGCACTTGCAACAGTGCCTGGCTCGTAATACAGTAAAATCTATCAGAGAAAGAAAATTCAAATATTTTCCATAAATAGAGAATGATAAAAATGTGGTAAGACTGTAACTGTCAAAGGAGGAGAACTGGTAAGATCCAGGAAAACAAAAACAAGGATAGTTCCGGCAAGATGGTGGACTAGGCACAAGGACTGCAGAGACGCTCTTCAACAAAGAAAAGGGAAACAAATTAACACAGACACAGAAGATAATCTTGGACCCCTGAGCCTTGAAGGGAAGGATACAAAAGTGGACTAAACCCCAACTAGCAGAAGAAT